AAACTGACTAACCAACTGACTTACTTATAATAAAATAACTAAATACTTCATAACATTAAGATCAATTGTAGAATGGATTGTCATATTCCCGACGGCAAGGCTTTTTCTCTTAGAATTGTTTTTCTTACTTAACTGGGATTGGCTGGTGCAGTAAAGTTTTAGAAACCTTGTTAAAAACAGAGCATTTAAACGACCGGCTTCAGCAGGAAATTGCATTTTCGCAGAAGACAGAGCAGGAGGCGACCTGCAATTTAGTTGCCTCGAGAAATATTTGTTATACATTTTTGTTTAGATCCATTTATCATGGCAGGTAGTTTTGCTTCATCTATTGTTCAAGTTTGTCAAACATAGAATGTATTGTAAGGCTGTTTTTTTACATAAATTTACATAGGGTTCAAGGAAATTTCTCCTACATGGGTCAGTTCCGCCGTTGATTGGTCTTGATTCGCCTAAGTAAACATTTTCATTTGCTTTAAATGTACGTAGGAAATGTTTCTTAATGTCGAGTTCAGATCAAGATGGCAAGAGAAAATGAAATATGTCCTCTCGAATATGTAGAACAATTTAACAGTCTCGTTATTCAAGACAAACCAAGTTAATATCTTTGTAACAACAGTCATTCCCGGGAAGGTGATACTCCTTGTAATCTTGGGTATGGATATGCTTCCTGATTCTCCAAATCCTGACCTTATTTCAGACCCAAATGTTTTATTATCCACAGCCGTTTCTAGTTGTGGTCGCTTGGCAAATCCAATGCGCTTTGTTGTAGCATATTTTAACTTCTCATCAGAACCAAAGTCAAATATTGTTGAAATTCTCCAAAAAAATTTTGTTCGAATGATACAGTTTCGTTATTTCCCTTTCTCTGTTACTCGCTTTGAGCTGAAAACATTAACACGTCTATGCACCCTCGTGGTTCCCTAGAACCGAAACCATAACTTATTTTGGATCACTGTGGTCAAAATCTGTTCTGATCTCGGGCCAAAATGAGTTTTATTTTCAGTACATTTTGCCTCTGTAGACTTTTTTTTATGAGCTTACGTTCGCGTGAAGTTAATCCAGAAGTCTGATGTATTCAACAACGATTTAATGCTTGCGTGTTGGCCGAGAGAAGTCAGATACCAATGCAAGGCACATCCTTGGCTACTTACCATTAAATATCCGTTGCCCCTTGGACTAATTGTTTAATATACAGGCAAAATCGAAAGATCTTGTGGTTAGTGTCTCATATAAAAGTTGTGGTGGTGGTGCTCTCCAGTTACTCAACCCTTTCCGACATGGCATCATATATGAGTTGAGTTCGCCGAGGGTTTTTCTCCGGGTCCTTCGGTTTTCCTCCCTCCGCAAAAACTTAGATTTTCAAATTTCATGCCAACGTGGAAACGGCGGACAAGAAGAGCCATCTCGTGGATTGTCCATTGCTAAATTCCCATTTTTTACCATTTACTCAAATTCTTTAGTGATTTCCCTCAGTTCTTTCTAAGCGCTTCTTGTCTAATGTTTCTGGTGTCTTCATGAACAGATCATGGCTGAGCCTAGTGCCACTGTGATAGAGGATGTCAACAAGGCCATGATCAGGGCCAACTCAGGAGAAGACAAGAATGAAACAGCTTTGTTAATGATGTCTCCTAGCATGAACTGGGCAGAATTCCTTACACCAGCACCCATGTCCATCGCACTTCTGGGGCAACTGATGCTGATAGCTGGAGAAAAGGATTTCTCACTGGAAAGTCAAAAGCCGAAGGACGGTTTCCAGTTCATCCAGCATCCAAGATCATTTAGAGCATGTCTGGTGCAAGTGAGCAACGCTGGATGGCGAGCTTTCAATGAGGCCCATAAGGTATCATTCTTGGTTCCCAACATCACCCCAATTTGGTTAACTAAAGGTCGTGACTCAATTGTTACTTAGATTTTTCTTTCTGAGGGCCCTAGGCTTTGATAAGTCCTTGAATAGGTATATGTATACGCAAGAAAGCAAATACAATCGAACCTCTATGTGTTGTAACCAAAATATATGACCTTAAACAAAGTCGATAGAGATAAAATAATATTATCAGAAGATCTGCATCGATGATCTTTAGATCTCTTTCAAAAACAAGAATATGTTCCGGCGTGACAAAAAATATCGCGTTGCAAATGTTCATATCTTTATAAAAAACAAACGAAAACTACTTGACTTTCATAATAAAAATGCAGACAACGCCAGGTTTCCCAAAGAACCTTTGGTGTCCCAAGAGATTTTGCGTCCTTTTTTCTCTTAGTAAGCGAAAGGACATTGCAGAAACCAAATTTCATATTCAAATGTCATTTAGATACCATCTCTGCGCAAGAAAATTTAAAAAACATGCTCGTATATTCAGATAACAGTTAATCACAACTAATCCAAAACACATTGCAATAAATCAGCCTCCAAAGAAAACCTCACATTTCTGACTAAAAAAAAAGTTTTTTGATATGCAATAAGTCAGTCACTCTTAATTCAGTCAATTCGAAAGAGAAGTGTTAGTTCTCTTCCTTTTTTCAAAGTGTATAGTGCCTTCCTGTAATTCAAGAAGAATTTATACCTTACTCAATTTCCGTGGCGGCATTCACATCGAAACCACCATGTCCCTTTTGAATATGATGTATCAGAGCAAATTTTAATGAGAATGAGATCAAACATTTCGGTGTTGGTATTTGTAATATTAAGGGAATTCTTAGAAAAAAATTCCAATTTTCTCGACCCCTACACCTGTCAGAAGTTCCAAAAATATGTATTGTAGTCTTTTACAGCTCAACTTGATATTTATTAGTCAATCAATTTCAAAATAGTGAAAAGACCAGTAATTGCTGGGGGTTATTACTAAATTCAAAAGTGCTCTTAGTAACTCTCAAAGTCTAAACAATCAGAAACAGACATAATATCAGAGTTGAATGTTACAACTTTTTTAATCGCAGTTGTAAAGAGTTTATGGACTCGGATAAAAGTGTGTACACAATGGGCTTGATATGGAACATTTTGCTGATATCATCGTTTGATTTCAGTATGTAAATTTAATATGCATGTTCTTTTTGAAACTTTATAAGAATATGGATACCATCCGGCTCTATTCTGCAAAAGTACCTGAGCAAGTGAAGAAAGTTGTTCGCACTCTTGTCTCTGGAAGCAAGGAGGATGTGAAAGACATCCTTCCCATCGAACTAAGGAAAATTGAGGAGAATGCTTCAGAATCCTTGGAATTAGCAAAAGCAGTTGAGAGCAAGTTCGAGAATGTGATGCATCTGACTGGTGAGCTACTGGAGGTTTCTTCAGCTGCCAAGGGACATTTTCAAAACACCCAAGTAGAACTGCAAACGAAAAGAGAAATTGCCTTAACCAAAGAAAAATCGGTCCGAGAAGAAATAGAAAGGGCAAAAGAAGAACAAGATAAGCTAACCAAACAAGTCAAAGAGGCAAAAGCACAGTGGGAAAAGGCTGTAGATTCCATGCCGAGTGGATGGGACCTTGTTGGTATGCAATTTGTCGAGGGAATCACAAAAGCTTTTACAAGTGCTGCTGAGACAGTGATTTCTGCAGTAGCTACGAGAGGGATGAACTCGTCGTCTGCCCCATCACATGCAGCCCCAAATCTGAGGGTGGATCCTAGTGAAAAACAGAGCGCAAAAAGAGTTTCGAAATTACCAACGCAAGCATTAGTCAAAGCAGAACTGATGAAAGTTTTTTCAGCCAAGTTGGTGGAAGTTCTTGCGACATTTCAAGACAAAAGTAATGGAGGCGAGCCAGCCAAAGACATTAAAAAGACAAGACTTGAAATGGAAAGCTTGCAAAAAGATTGGTCCACCGAGCAAGAAAGTAAAGACGACCAGGAAGGCTTAAAACTGCTGTCAAGGGGTTTGGAGATATGCATGGAAGCGGAAAAAGAGTTGGAAGACCTCAATTTGTCTAATGATAAGATGAAGAAAATTGCTAAAAGAGCATCGAAACTAAAAGATGACATCTTCAAGTTCTGCACTAAAGTTCAGACAAAAGTGCAGACCAATCCTCTCTACACCAAGCCACCAAGACAAGCAAGAAACATGGCTGACCCTGCAAAGTCTGCATCATCAAGTGCTGCTAACATGGCAGTTGAAAGTGCACGGTTTAAAATTGCTGAAACGAGAGGCTTGCTAGAAAAACAAGAGATGCTATATGACGAAGGAAACAAGCAGCTGAAGGAGAGCAACAAGGAGCTAAGTAAAGTTCTTCAAAGCCTTGTGGAATTCAGCCCAGAGAAGATTGCTAACTTTGACCAGATAAGAGAGACATTGAAAAAAGGCATCAAGGCTCTTGCTTCAGTACGCGAAAGGTGGCAGAAACTGGTGGAGTTCTTCCAGTGTATTACCAACATCATCAAGGTGTGTCAAAAGGAGAGCCTAACAAGTTTTGTTGAATATTCCAAAGTCGCCCAAGAAAGAAGGCTGACTAAGGGCTACACTGACACGGATTTCATGCGTGACCTCATCTACGAACAAGTCAGTCAAGCTAATAAGACCTCTTATGTTGTTTGGTCCATTTCAAACACCTATGTAGAGGTGTCACGTAATCACTTGATGAGCCGATTGGCCAGCCTTGGTCATTTGATCGCCTTGGACCCAGAAAAAGACAGGGCAACCATTGAGGAAAAGAGGATAGAGCTCCTGGAAGGAAGTCAAGAGGCTGAAAGAGCGATTATGCAGTTGGTATCAGAGGCCCAGAATACTTTCCATGAGAAGGTAGGAGAAAGGATCAAGCAGTTTGAAGAGGAGATGGAGAAAGTTCTCCCACCAGAAGATCCAGCCAGAATAAAAGAAATAAACGACTCTGTTGCAAAAGCCGTCAAAGAGGCAGATGAGGAACTAAGCGCGGATTGCTTTTAAGGTAAAGTCATACTTAATACAGGTTTTGTTTAGTTAGGTTGTCAATGGAATGGAATTGCAAGTGGTTTTGTAACATTCATGTAATAACTTATCAGCATCCTCTAAGTCAACGATGACTAAGTTTTAAAACAAAAACGTTTCTTGAGGGAAAAACGTTCTACTGTTGCATTTTTGGGGTAGAAGGGGAGAAAGGGGTTCAGTGTCTCTGAGTTATCTTTGAAATGGCTTATTGAAAACTGAGTGATCCAAGTTTAGCTTTGGGATATAGTAATTGCTTATTTTAACATGGAATATTACTTTTTTTTGGCGACTAGGGTACGTACGGTATAGTTAAAGAAACCTGCAAATAGGAGCTTGAACTTGATTATTATATGTAGTATTAGTCAGCGGCAGCTTTTATCTAACCTAATTTATCTATTTCCTATCTTCACTGTTTCATGCAGGTAATGAACTACAATAATTCATTTCTATCAATACATTAAATCAGGGAAAGATATTGAAGAGTTTACATCAAATAGACTGATTGATAATTGTCTTATTTTTTAATGTTTCAGTTGGCACTGTAAACATAACATGTTTCATAACAGATTATGTTTTCATTTCAGATTGACAGACCTGTGCAGAAAACTGTGTGCAATAATTCAAGTATTAATTGCAGCTGAAATCCTGGTACATCATAGTATAAATAAAGTTATTAATTTTTCTAATTCTAATTATTGATGACTGCTTACAGAAATTTTCACTTTGGTGTTGTCTAATATTACACAAAAAGGCTACCCAGGCTGATGAAAAGTGCAATCAAAATTTCCATGTAACCTGAGTAACTGAAAACAACAAGATATTAAACATAACTACTATTCTTGAAGATTAATTTTTACCTTTAACAGCATTTTTTCTCCGTTGGTGGTATGATTTGCTTTCAATTGAAAAAAAAACCAGATTTATCACAGCAAAACCAAAGCTGTGGGGGAGAAATCTAAAAACTTTATAGAAAATTGCTAAATGGTACTAGTGTTCAATTTGGTCATTGTTTGTGCACTTCCAAGTTCTGAACCTAAAAGAAATGATAGGTATGGATTGATTGTTTAAGGCAACTTTGTGCCAGACTCTGATCCAGAAATACATCAAAATGTAAACATATGAGTTGACAATTACAGGGCCCATTTTTATACAGTTTAGGCTTTACTTTATCTTCACAAGCCTAGCAGCTGTTACATGTAGTTATAAGCTTTGAAGTTATTGTCTGATATTGTGGTGCAAAGAGAGTGATACTCCCCTGATTTTGAAGAGGTTTGCTTTTCTAGCATTTGTCCTTTGTTTTCAAGGAATGATCAGAAAGTAACTATGTAAATGTTTTGGCCCATTCTTAAGAGTGACTACATGTTTCTCCTTTAAGATAATACTGATTCCACCACCAATCTTGATCCTTGATCAACTTAAAGGGAATCATTAAACACAAGGTGCGATTTTACTTTACCGCAGATTAATTCAATGCATAATGACTACACTTTGCAAAATGAGGGAAAAGAATCAAAAGAAGCAAGACATGGACTACCATGTAAACTTGTGTCACTGAGAAGTGTACAGAGTTGAAATTTCTGGTGGTCTTTAAATACCCCAACTGTAAAGCAAGAAAACTTTTTTTGAATATTAATTTTGAGACCAAAACCAAGAGAATAGCTAGCTCTTTGTAATTTGAGTGGAGAAAAATTCTTAATTTTAAAAAAATATATACATTTTTTAAGATGGTAGAAACTCATATTTCAACAAACATAGTTTTTTTTTACCAATGTTGGTGTTGTTATTCACTCTTTATTACCTTATAAGCTTAGACAATAATGCACTGTTTAAATCATGCAAGAATGTAATGCTTTTATTGACTTGATTGTGTGACTTTTCTTTCAATAAATGCTGTTTGCTAATCAAAATGATTTGGATTTTTCTGATTTCTAAGTGAGTCATAGTGTAAAGAATGATATCTTGTTGCGCAGCTAAGTTATGTTATCTCAGTCTGCATTCATTTCACAATCACACCTCTATTAATATCCCAACCCCAAGATAAATTTTTCTAGAGCACAAGTCGTATTCTTCATATAATCTATTAAGAAATACTCACTGCCTAATTTTTCAGTTTAAAAAATTCAGTGCTTTTCAAAGAAGTTTAGATATTGAGGTCACCATGAAAATCGGAATGCCTATCAGAAGTTCACAAAGAAACTTCATTCATCTTACTTTAAGTACTTAATAATACAACTTTGATAAAATCTCCCTGAGGCTTGCTGTACCCTTTGCAGTAACCCTTACCCTCAATCCACCCATTTCAGCTGCTTTAGGTTCTATGATGAAATCCATTTTTGTCCTGTCCATTCTTTTTCTAATTTCCTAGATTCCTTCCTCTGTTTGTTCATTATTGAAATACCTGTCAGATACATGAAAAAATTAGTAGTTAGAAAAACTTGATGTAGAAGCTCAAAGCTGAAATGCTCCAGGCCTGAAACTTTGTGTGCATTTCCAGTGCTTCAAGGTTACTGAACTATAAAAGTTTCAAAATGTTTATTATGCTGCTTTGCTGTCCATATTAGGAAAGATCACACAAAAAAGTCCTCTTTCACAATAAATAAAAAACTCTGTTGAAAGAAAATGTCATGAATATGAAAACCAAAAGCTGATGAGTCATTTTAGAATGCAAAACGATTTTTTTTGTTATTATAACACTTATTAAACAACACTTTTCCAGGACCAGCTGTTATGATTTTTAATGCAAATGGAATGTGTACATTCAGATTCCTGCCTTATAAGATTAATAACTGGCTATAAGAACATCAAAAGAGGTCATGTCTTCCCTGACTGAACATCTTATACTACACACTTGACAACTACTGGGTGCTGTTGCATCTTTGTACTTTCAGTAATACATCATGTACATCTCTATGGACATTATGTATTAAAGTTATCAACTCATTTGACATGAAATATCTGGGCTCTGAATTCTGTCTATGAATTTTTAACTATTCAATAACATGCCTTACTTTGCCATCTGAAGACAGAAAAAAGTTGAGAAAAACTACTCAAATGTAGTTAGAAGGCAATTTTGCTGACCTTCTGGTAGTTTATTGTTGAACAGTTGACCACCATGACTTGTGGGTAGCTGTTCTGCACTTTAATCAAAACTATAACAAAATTCTTGAATGTCATTGATTATGACCAGCCTGATTTGAGCACTAATAGGACAGTGTATGTGTCTTGCTTGTAATTGGATAGAGTAATAGGACAGTTGACACATCACACCTGTGTAAATAGACAGTATGTGCCATGTGTGCGGACTGTAGTTACACATTTTGCCAAGTGAACTGTCAGTTGTTTTTTACGAAAATGTATATTAACCAATATCTACATTCTTTCTCAGATTTTGTCATAGTTTTGATTAACTGGTAACAGGACTTTGTGTCGTCCAATTCTGTCATCCAACTAATGATTAACAAATAGACTCCTGCTTCACAGTTGTCCAATTTTGTCAAGCACTCATATAATAGCAAACCAAATTAGACTCCTCTCAGTCCTATTACCATTATTTACAGTAGGTAAAAAATGTTACAGGTCCAATAACATTGTTTGACGACGTGAAATCCTTTCTTAGCCTGGGACAAAACTGTCAGAGTTATTAACTGTTTGTGTAAGTGTTGGTGTTGTGTAAACACCATTGACTGTCCTGTGAAACTGGCCTTCAGTGATTTGTTGGAAATATCTGTTTACTTTACTGAAATAATTTCTCCTGCTGAGCAACTTCCTTCCATGGGTATTGAAAAGCATGTGTTGACTTTCTGTCTTTCCTTCTCCACAACCTCTTTTTATCTCTTGTTCGCACATTTTCACACCATGTGTTCAGAGCATATTTGTCCTTCCAATCAATGATGAACTATAAGAGATTGAATGAAATAAAACACATACTCTGAATCATCACAACATGTATGCTTTAGATTGAGAGAAAAGTAACAAAGGGAGTGTGACATGAATATGGCAAGCAATCAAAGCAATAGTAAAGATATTTTTCTCTTTTTCCACCACATTTTTTCATGTATCACATAAGAGAAATAACCCTGCCTTCTGAGCAGCAATATTCCTGATCAATATTCATCATAATGAAGTACTTCAATCCCTTTGTAAAGCACATTTCCTATATTATTTCCTAGATTATTTCCTCATGCACTCATAGGTTTCATTTATGGTCTAAAGTACAAGTTAGACCTCTATCAGCTATGGATAACATGTCCCATAAGACCTTGCTGACATGATATCACCAGGTAGAGTAAGACCAATTTTGCATTGGCAGTCTTTCCAGAAGTGTCAAATAACCCAATATTAAATAATTTCTGATGAAATTGAGTGTGAAATAATAATTTAGGATGTGGAACACACCAGTTACAAATCCTAAAGAGGATCCTCATCTCAATCTTATCACAAACCACAGTCTAGTAAGAAATTTCCTTAATTGCATTCTATTGTGCTAATTGGCATTTTTATGTTTACTTGTATCTTGAATGGTCAAGTTAGAAAAGGTAATCATGTAGGGCCAAGTAAACTTTAGGATTTATTAATATCATGCATGTTTCAAATGTTGGAGAAATTGCCTGACTTGCCCAGTGACAAGGGAAGTGTCTTTACCTGTCTGAAAAACAGAAATGACACAGGAAACATGTGATAACCTGTTTATGATATAAAGGACAAAATTTTCTCTCATTAAGAAGGTCAAAACTGCTGGGATTCCAGAGGATCTATCTTAATTAATCTTACAAAGGATTCTTGTTAACAATAGCAAGATAATTACCTTAAAATAGATCATTACCAAATAAATATTAAATAATTAGCAAATTCTACCTGTGGATCCCAGAGCTCACTGGCAACTCCAAGGTCTTTACAACATCTCATCAATGCATTAGACTTGGCAGCCTCCATAGCTTTTCCATACACCATGTTATTAGAGGAATAAAAAGTGTGTTCACCAACAGTCTGCGCAACAAATCTTCCCAAACAAAATAATGCATACTCCCGCACAATTAGCTGGCTGTTGTCTTTATCATTCTAAAATATAAAACAGTGTTATCTTATAAGAAGAAGTTTTAACAAAATAGATCATTCATCCACATTAATGCTGCATTCCTATAATGTTATGGCATATCACAAAGTCAAGTATCTCATAAACTTAAATGGCACCAAAATGAAGAATGAACAAATGAGTGAAGAAATGAATTAATTGGAATAAATGAGAAAAAATTCCTCTCAGTTAAGTTTCAACAGGATACTAACTCTGTCTGTAAATATAATGTGATTTATAAAATTAAAATTAGGGTGCTTGAAGGCTACTTATGTTGTGATATCTCATTGAGAATAGCCAGGTCAGACTACTTTTACACCTGATTTTCTTGTTTAAAGAAAATAAAATAAGGCCATCACATGTTCATACAAGGAGTCTCTGAGTCCAGTGGCTTTCAAAGTAAAAACAACAACTTGAAAATAACATTCTATTTCATTTGAAGTTATCTACCTGAAATTGAAGAGACTCGCCTCGTGGCACCAGTGCCCATCCACCTGGACCAAATGCTTGATTAAGTATTCTTCTATATTTTATCTCAGGAAGATAAATCAATCCTGCACAAAGATAGCATTAGAAACTTAAAATTAAATGAAATATTCACATCAATCAGACACCTTTTTGCTAAGGTTGGAGTTGGTACTAGTAATTTTCAACAACATATATAAAATAGTGAAAAGGAAACAGTATATTTGAATAAAAAATAGTGAGATGTCTCATGCTATATAACCATGCAAATACTTTCTATACTCAGAAAACACAAACTCAGCAATTCAATATAGTCAAATGAGCCTCCATTAAATTTTCAAAAAAGCTAGAAACTAACAACTTTTTAAATTACAATCATAGGAAAGGTCCTGTCAATAACTTTAAATCTTTAATAAAAAATTAATATACTTAAATGCAGCTGGTGCATAACCAAAAGTTACTGAATTCAAAAAGGGAAGAATTGATATTACACATAACAACCAACCGGTGGTACTAAATTTGAAGATTGCTTGAACCACCAGATGAGCTTAAGTGGTACATATTTATCTTGCTTTTCTTTGTTAGATGTTGGGAACAAATACCATAGCAAAGTTGAGCACACACTAGCCACTGGTTTATATACAACTATTCGTCAAAACCATAACAAAATTCTCACAAGTAATTGGCAGTGTACACATTAGCTTATCAGTGAACAATGTTTTGAACTCTTAATGCCTCATGTTTTTGTTGTTAGATGATATATGCCATTTGCATGCACTATTAAATAGACTACTGGGTTCCTTTTCTTGTGGAAAAATGTCAATTATACTGTTTTTTATTTATGAATGTGTTTAAAAGTCATTTTTCATAGATTTGAGTACTTGGTAAAAAAACTTGGCACTGTTTACTTTTTTCATAGAACCAGTTCCTGCTTCACGAAAATTTGATTGCGTTCATCATTTGTAATATTATAGATTGAATTGGACATCACTGCCTCCTGTTACCATTAAAAATATTCACAGGAAATGTTTTTGTCTATACCATCTGGTTTGATCTCAACATCAGTTTCATTGATAGGTGACATCAGAACTTGAATGATTTCTTGGCTAAAAGGTGTTGTTGCTGCACCAGAGAAAGCATCTGATAACCTAACACAAATTGAACAAGCGTTGAATAATTTTTTCACTCAGTGTCTTTTACACACAGCAACTGTCTCCCTCTCTGAGAGAGGAATGAATCTTGAGAAATGGCTTTATGAGAAAGTGTCACAAACATCTCCAATCTATGACCCTCTCTCTTTTTTAAAAGTTCTCAGAGTTACATGATCCTCAGCCAAAGCATTTGTACAACTCCTCACAATCAAAATCCCCAACACAAAACAAACTGTGCAATGAAGATAAAGAATCTTATCATTAAGGCATTAAGTGTGAGAGAATATTGAGTATAAGTTTCTGGGGGAAAATGTAACCACTGTCCTGCTAAATTACATGGTATATACAATGTAGATAGTCATAAATGTCCATTTTTAACACTACCACCATCCTTTCTCGAAAATAATTCCAGAAAAATTAATCCAAAAGTTCTTATTTTTCTTTCTTTCCCAAACTATTGTGGACTGAAACAAAAGCCAGAGTTCAATATGCATATCTTCCGCTAGTTAAACCTGAATAAGTCAACAGCTTTGAAAATTCATTACAATCCATTTATTGCAATGATTTAGAGTATAACCTATCAAAGGATCCTGCGTCAGAGGTAATCAAAGCTACTGAATAATGCCAATTTACTTGAGATGATATAGCGACATTTGAACGCTCGAATTTTCTCATAATTCCCATGAGAAATTTTAAGTTTTCCCTGATGGTGTTGAAAGATAGTCATGACTCACCACAATTCGCTTATATTCGTTCAGGGGGTTACAAACTAAGAATTACAAGAAGACACCGTGAGTATTTCAAACATTTTCTTGAAAACTAAGGTAAGGAGGTAATTCGAACGTTCAAACATCTCCATATAATATCAAGTAAATTAGCACAATACTGCAGCTTGGGTTAGCTGTGCAAAGTACAGAAATGCGTATCTTTGTTAAGATGTTAGCGAAATCATACGACAGTTTGACATCGTCGTGATAATATTTCGAAAATCGTGTTTTTTCCACACTTTTTTATTCTTAAAGCCCTTTCCTAAATTTACTCTGATCAGCAACTTAGGGGATCCACCAGTACACCACACAGTGCATTTGAGTTCATACGAATCAACTTACCTCTCAAAAGAATTACTTGCTGTTGACACAGAAGATATCATGTCTTCCTCAGTTGATATGTTTGTTTCTGTGGGTCTATGTTGATCATTTGACAAAAATCGAGTTGAAACTCGTGCACGAGTTAAGCAAACTGCCAAAGTGCCTACATTTAACCTATTGAGGAGAAGTCTTGGTATTGCCGCCATTTTGAATTTTAACGTCTGAGGGAGGACTGGAAATGACATACATCAGAGGTATGGGGCATTGGGCTCTATCGGGGAACCAGGGTGCAATGGCAAAAATAATTAAAGGCAGGAGGGGGTGTGACTGTTTTCCTTCAATTTCAACAAGGAGGACTCGGTTGACTTCTGAAAAGTTTTAAAAACTCGTAACAAATAGAAGAAAGCGACACTTCAAAAAAGAAGTGGTGCCACAGAAAAATTGAATATTTACTCTCAAGAGGTCTTAATTTTGCTTCTCATATGTAGAAACTGAAATACTAATAGGAAATAATTCAACTGTAAGAAGTACGAGGAACAAGGAAGGACTTGATATCACGTGATGTAGTAACGTACAAAGTGCTCTCTCGTCAGCTTGGTGACATGAAAATAAAAGAAGTACTGATGACAGTCATGAAAAGTGACCCTAATTATCACACGAAATACATTTGATTAAATTGACTTTTTCGGATCATTTTGCTCGCTTTCATCGTTGCTGCCGTTTGCAGTAAGAGAGGTTTGACACATCGTTTCTTCAGAGAGGTTAGTTCTAGAAATATACTTCCAAATATCTTTGATTTATCAATACCTTTAGATATTTGCCTTCGTCCTAAGCTGTGAAATACAAAAGGTATATTATACAAAGTTAACATAACGGTGCTATGTAGCACAACTACATTTTTAGAATGTCTTTCACGATCGACGTGTATGCTTTACTAGCATGACTAAAATGGGTCACCAAATGACATGTTTGTAGACACGTCATGAACGTTTGATAAAAATAGAAAGAGGACGCTCTAGGTTCAGTCGATGACCTGTTTTTTCAAAGCCCTAGGCATTTTTGTAACATACGAGTGCTTGAAGTAATTATGGCTCAGTCTTGAAAAAGGTGAGCTATTCAAAAAAGTTAACTTAGGCAAGTCGTCTATTGATAAAAACAATGTTACTAAGTTCAAAGGTTGATTATAAAATTCAGTTGGACGTAGAAATGAAGCAAATTAGCAAACTGAAACCCCTCGAGACGAAAAAAAACAATGTTCTTTGTTCTCGTCTGACGGAAATATTCAGAAGAAAAAGAAAAATTTTGACAAGGCAGCCTGAAGAGCTGCGATTTACAGTATTCTCCCAATTGCGATTATTGACCGCAATCGATTTGACTACAATTTCTGACGGAAATTTCGGGTTCATCGTTATAATCTTTTTCATTTCTTCTCCTTAAGAATAGTGAAAATAAAGTCGCTCGAAGTTATCCGCTAATCATAGTTCCCAATGAAGAACACCATCGCTTTTCTCTCAAACAACGTTTGTACCCTTACATGAGCGAAACAAAGCGTCTCCTTTATCATAACCGAACGCATCTCGAACTAATATTCTCCGAACTTATCTGTGATTAAAATAATAATATCACAATCCGTTGTCCATGTTACAAAAGAGCCGACAAGTTTCCCGCGAAGCACCGTCAAAAACCCCGTTCATTGTCAAGTCTGTGTGGCTATTACCGCTTCGTAAGCCACGGGAATAACATATTTTCATCAGCAGATATTTCAAAACACCGGCGGTAGGATGAGAAGGACGACATATGCGCTCTGGACATCGCTTCGATTCGACTCGACCTCACTCGCCTGAAGCTATCAAAACACACAGGTAATTAGTTTTCAGCGACTAACACGTTACAATTGCATTCGTTACGGCTTCGTGAGGATTTTCCCTCGAAACTTGACGGAAGTTTAGATATATCTGCATGACAAATTCGTTTCTCGAGCTAGATTGAATAAATTGAAAGAAACTAAGGGAATGCAGCTGATGATCTATTGACTTAATCATTCTCGTTTTTGTGAGAACGTATTGAAATACATTAAAGCAAAGAACTCTTGAATGAAGCGATAGAACAGAACAAGAGGGAATTCTCAATGAGTCCTCTCATTTTTTCCTGAACAGAGTTATACATTTTTCATGACACTAAGCGGTTTCTTTGAGTCAAAATAAGCAATGAAACCGAATATAACAGGCGTTGATGTGAGGGCTTCCTTGTCATAAAAAGAGCCGGATCCGTGTCATCCGTGGCCAAACAGAACCGAAAACTCAACAAACTGTGAGCCTATACACTTAAAGCTTATAAAGAGTTTCCATTATTTAAAAATAAGGAAAATTTATTAGTCCGGTTAAAGTGAGTTTGCTTCGTGTCTTTTTGGAATTGTACACTACATTGCATCCTAAACGTAACCACTCAGCTCCTTCGGTTACAAAGAGACTTACCACCGTAAGGAAATTACATCTTCCTGATTATTACCCCAAAGACTATTGTTTGTGCCGCCATGTGATACTTGAAACCCTTTTTTCCTAAAGTATGACGATGGATATATTTATTTTTGCTGAAAGTTTAACTGCTCTCAAGAAATATTCAGGAGGCCGGCAGCAACAAATTTGTCTTGAAAGTCATTTTGAAAAGTTTTTTAAGTGCATCGAAAGACGAAAAGTTTGTCTTAATGATAGACGGCTTTGGAGCCGTTTTTGTTACATTTTTATTGGGCATATATGAGTATTGTTCATTTCGACAATTATATCTGGTTTTTGATAAAAAATCGTGCTTTATTTTTCCCATGAAAAGTTTCACTTCGTACTGGTACGTTTTTCATCTATTTTTTGCTTAAAGCACATTTTATATGAAACAAGACAAAAAATAAGTTTGGAAAACATTTCAGTTAAACTTCTCAGGGAGATTTACCCTGTTCAAAATCTCAAAGGGGCCGGTTTAAATTTCAAAGCTAACTGAAGGAAAGTAGAAATTCTCAATGTTTTGACATTGAAAAGGAAACCCACGGTGTCAGATGAAAGACAAATCATTCGAGAAGTCGATACATGCTGTTTAGAGGCTCCAAACCATGGTGATTACCATAAAAGAGTGGTATACTTGATTCTGAAAACTCCAGTAATGTTTTAAGCATTTTTCTAAGCATGATGAAAAATGATCAGGAATACTTTTATTTTGAGCAAGCACTGGTTAAGGAGACAATATGGAATTGAATTGGAGAGAAAAAGCAAAACCATAAACTTAATCAGTATACCAAAACGCAGAATTTTTTGTTGATTCTCTCCCGTCGGCAGATCGACGTTTTCTCGTATATCGTCAGAAAAGAGTGGGGAACTGCGCTTAAGGAGTAAAACAAATATTACCCGACTTCCTTAAACTTATCTCGCTAAGCTAAGGGATGTTTCATTGAAAAATTATGCAGTTAAGATTCGGCTTTGGAAATTCAAACGTCCTAAAAAGACACCGCGAACAATGCCGACATAATTTGTTGGAATCATTATGAAAATATGAAAGAGTCGGTATCTTTTCCTCTCAAAAAACAAAGAGGTTCACTTTACTACAAAGTGTCTGGTTCAACAGGCTCTGATGCCATAATTGTTATTTTCAAAAGAGACAATTAGAATACAGAACTTTGAAAAGCTATGTGAATTTCTCATTGACTATTTTGCACAGCGAAAATAACCGCAAAACGCTTTTAACATGAAAGGATTTATGAAGCTAAAGATACCGAATTAGACAGCCGGCGACCCTCTTCGCTAAAACGGAGGAAGTATTAGAAAACTTATGCAGATCTACAGTCATATTGGCTCGGGTGGATGCTGCGATAAAGAGAGGACAATTTAAAACCTGATGCTTTCTTTTTGACAAATTTCTGACCGGCCTAACAGGCGCCCTTAAATTTCCCTCGGTAAGGGTAACAATTAGCAGGATCAATTAAGCTCACTCTTTTCGATTCTCCAATGTCTCGAATTCAATAAGCTACCTTTTTAAACATTACGTGAAGGAAAACGGCATAACTTCCACATATTTCTTATTCAGTAGCAATTCAAGAATGCTTCAGGAGTAAACTGCAGTGGCCGAACGGTACGGCATTCCGTTAATACTAGTCAATACGCGATCATCGCAGCTTTCCTTACTTTACAGAGGATGTTCAGATATTTCAGAGGATTTTTCAGGATAATCTGTAAGGATTTGATCGATTTGTTGCGACTTAAATTAATTTTTTTCTAAGGTTTTTTTTTTCACAAAAAAGTATTTATTCGGAAATTTTTTGTGCGATTGTTTTGATTTGTTTTGATATGAGATGATTTTTTTTGTTTGTTTGCGTCTTTGTCTTTTTTTGTGCGATATTTTGAAATTGGAATTATAATATCAGTATGATCAGTATTAGAGTTATTTAATAACCCAGACCAATGTACGTAGTCCAGTAATTTTATGACTAAACTTAGACTCAACGTGCGCTCTGCGTCCTGAGTTTCCCTACCAGTAACCAAAACTTTTCAAAATCGTCTTCACAAGTGTTTGAAATTCGATTATGGATACCACCCTTTTTAATTTTACTTAGCAGCGTGAGCACTGACTTAGCCAAGTCTCGATCTTTTTTATCCTTTTCTCTTCATATTTTGGCAGTTTATTTCCATTTAAAAACTAAAATGTTTCTCTAATTCGACCCACGTTGAACACTACTTTCTTTATTCGAAGATTTCATGCTTTTCAATTGTGCAAACTGGCCAGACTATGTGGTCGGGTACAGGCGCTCGATGGATATTTTAGCTGACATCATGTTGACTTTCAGTCACATTTGCTGATTACACAGTAACCTCGTTCCCAAGGGGAAAAGCCAAAAGGCCAAAGGAGGTGGATGTCACATACAAACACGTGACTATAAATTTTGATTTTAAACCATTTTGATGGCTGATTAATCTCCCTACCTTTCGGAAGAGTCAACGAGTCACAAGAGGTCAATGTCATGCGAGATGAAGAAAGCTTTCCCCTCCCCCTCCGCCAGTGACCGATGCAACAGGAATCTCTGAACGAATATCTAAGCTTTTCTGGCATTCAATTGTCTCTTTGAAACTAAAAAAAGCAAAGAACAAAAAGCTTATAAGCGCTTGTAGTAATTAGCTTAACTCGCTTGGCCCTCAACTTAAGACTTAATCACGAGACCGCCTATTTCAAAATATTATTTCAGATTCCTTTTCCATCACCGGAGAGGTTCTTTTCGTCTTCTTTTGCTGAGAGTAAAAAATACGAACAGGTATGCAATATGGCCTTTGCCGGTGTTCCATACAAATTTCGGTTTTCCTTTTATCGTAACCGATAGCTTTTCCCAGTTATCAGGACCATTTTCACTTATGGTCTAAATAGCTTTTTCTTCTTGTTGTTAACAGATAAGACTGATAATGATGAATTCGTTTCAAGCTGATCTTACTGGGAGAAGTTTAGATCTTTGAAAAGTTTTTTGTGATTTTCTTTTGATAAGAACATTCAGAAGACAAAAAAATTAAAAAGACCACTTTAAAACGCATGGTATTTTCAGAACAAGAACAAACGCCATTTTGATGCCTTCTTTCCAGATAATTCGAATGTTCCATGGGGTCAAAGTGTTTTAAAGAGGAACGAAGCCCTCCAAAAGGTGAGTTATTTCAGTACGTATGTTACTTTCTTTGAAAAAATTTTCAAACTTCGACCCTCAGTGACAAGGGAATTGAACAGATATGAAAAATGCGTTTGTTCGAAATAAAGAACACTCTTGTTTGTAAAATACGTTTCCGGATTATTTTTCACGGGATTTTTGTTGAGTGTTATACTCCATGTGTAAAGGATGTCCACTCAAAAGCTTCCTTTGTATGGACTTGAGCTTTCACTTGCCATCATTGAGTTTTACCAAAACAAAAAATGGATTTTAATCGGAGGCACCTAAAAAAAAATATGCTTCAAGATCATAAAAATAACGGATGGTATTTCTGTGAAATTGGGCTGAAGTAATTCGTGTGTACATGTTTACTGTTGTAGCCTAATATGCTAAAGCTTATTAGAAGAAATTCCTCTGTAATTATGGTTCCTTCAAAGTGTTTTGCGTTTTTTTTTTTATCATCGACATGTCCGAATGGGAGTGCAAGGCAACTTCAAAAAATTTGTACGAACTGTTCTTCAAAATCATTGGCAAGCACAGGTATCAAGTAATCGTACTTAATGTCGTAACTGGCGTTAAATAAAAACTGACGAAGTAATGGTATCTTGGAATGAAAAATTAACTTCTAGAGGTCAATGTAAATTTAGAAAGGTGTTCTAAAAACGATGCTGTGACATATCTAAAGATCGCTCGCTACGTGCAAAGAGTGGGACTACTGTGGCTCACTACGTTGCTTTCCCAGCTGATGAAAGTAACTTACGGCCTGTGTTCCACTTATCAAGCGCTGCAGACTTAACCTTCGTGTGACAATGGGAATTACCCAGTGCTTTCTAGAACTGTCATGCTCAGTATAGTCAAAATGGGGGATATAAGAGAAACTTTGCGTATGATTCAGTGGGACTATAGAATGCATGCTGGGGAGCAAAATAACTCGGCGTTTAATTTCTACAAAACCACCGCTCTCTCTCTTTCAAGAGTTCATTAATCTGTTCGATCCTCTAAAGATAAAGGATTGATTTGTACATTTTTTTATGGTCATTCAATATCACATTTGAGTGCTCAATTATGGAAGTAAACAACTCCCAGACAAGGCGCTTTGTTTTCTTGTTATATCAGCCTTTTCCAAAATATTGATCACATTCACATGATTGCGCTTGATAATGCATCAAAATATTCTGAACTACACTAGAATGATCAGTTTTACATTTGATTAAAGCGGCAAATTATAAAGTAAAGTATAAGAGTTAACCAAGGACATTCGAACGTTTACGATATCGTTACTAGGGTCACCATTCTTTTCTCCCTGACCCCTTCCCCACTTGCCGTAAGGATTTGAAAAGGAAAGACCTGAGAACAAGGGATGAGGACTATTAGCCCAGCCAAGAAAATTGCAGAACTTTCCGATCTTTTCTTATAAGTGGACTCACAGTCCTTCATATGAAACTCTATATAATCGCCAAGAGTGTCCGCTTTTTGCCGTTAATGTTGAAACCAGTTCAAAACATTTTTTAAAGGAGCGGGTCGAATACACCTTAGTTCTTTTATTTATAACAATTTACCGTGCGCAGCCGTGTGTAGCTTCCCTAGATTCAAAAGAGTTACCTGACCACTCCAAAACTATCTTCAAATGTACTTAAACTTTTAGAATCTATATGACGCCATTTTTTTTTTCAATGCAAAGAATAAAACACTCATTAACTAGGCTGCGCAGGCAAAACCGCAGTGAGGTTCACAGAACTGAGAAAAAAAGGGAACAGAGACGTCGCAGGTCACAAATTATCAGCCAGGTGGCTAGATGGTGGCTTCTGTTGTTAAATTCAAGAGTGTTTAAGGGATACAGTTTGGAAAGCTTAGGTTGATCTTTGAAATCTAAAAGGGTGGTCAACATCAGCATTTCATTTATGACTTTAATTGCGGAGAAAACTTGAAAAAACATGATCTTAACTCAATTCATTAACTCAGTGTAGGAATCTGTTGTAATAAAAGTTGAAGGCACCCACCCCACCTAGGAAACTTGCTATACTGGCCGCCCCTAATGGAAAAATCGCTCATGCGCAGCTGGTGAGTTTTCTTCCGACTTGATTCAACATGGCGTTTACTGACGAGACAACATTCGATTACTGAAAAAGCGTAATAGTAATGCGGTGTGTTATGGCTTGGTGGCGTCCTTAGTTGATTGAATGTTCAGTTGACTGGATGGACCCGAAGGGTGTAGTCACAACTCAATCAGACTTAAGTCGGCATTAAATTGAAACGTTCATCACAGAAACTCTGGTTCTGAGGACAGCGCTTGAGCATTTCGAGCTGCGATTGACTTTTGCACCTATTGCTGTCTCAACCCGATTTAGGCAAATTGATTTGACTTCGAAAAGACTTTCAGCCGAGTTTTAATGATGTAGAACGTTTAGCTAAGTGGATTGAAAAATATTCCTCTGGGAACAAGACTGGAGATAAGTGGGATGCTAATATCACCTAGGGAACAGGGGTCACGTAAGTGGATCGAAAATTTCTTCCCCTGAGAACCGGGGTACAGGTAGTGTGATTGGGTAAAATTTAGAATCGAGAGAAGAGGAGGAGATAATCGGGATAGTGATATTGCCCTGGAGTACCGGAAAGTAGATAAGGGGAAAGGTTAATATCACCCCCAGGGAACGGGAGGGCTGACTGAGTATCCCTTCTTGTTGACGCTGTCTTTAACAGAAGCTTTAATACCTGAATGTCAATAAATATTACAGAATGATGTGAGTTTGTCAGCACTTAACCTCGGTACTTGAGGAATGACGACATTAAGACGGGAGCGGGAAGTCGGAGCGGAACTGAATCCACTGCCGGCGGCGTTAAGTTTCTCACTGATCTGAAAAGTTCATCAAAGATCTTCACGAAACATCTAATTGACGAAGGCCTCTCTTGTTAAATAAAATATTATTTGAAATAATTTTTGAATTGAGAAAAATGTGTTCTTCATCCTCTAAAGAGGGGTGTAAGATTATCAGCCAAAAAAATTGTCGGCTCATCCAATCATTATGCACCTCTCAAAACACGCAATGAATACATTGATAAAAATACGCACCGCATGCACCAATATCGCTGATTGCTGCCGAGTTATATTAGTACCTCTGATTGTGATGAATGTTCATATGGAAGGACCAGACGAAGATACGGTCTTTTAATATGCGATGAAAAGATAATTTTGGACCCTCATTCACACTAAGAATATGAATTTTATTTTGTTATTGTTTCGGTAAAGGTGATAAGCCCGCGCCGATTTTTCTACCGCCATAGTGCCACAGCCGGCTACAGCTGCCAGAGAGGAAACTGAACATCAGTCGAGCCGCAATTGAAGCATTTTCAATTGCTTTTCACTGTTTGTGTTTTTCCAGGCATTTTCCGGAACCCCTGTTTCTCACTTGCTGTCGCTAAAAGCTTTCACACAATAGCTCCTAAACAATACGCGCCAGTATTTAGTTCTCGTTAACACCTCTTAAATCAAGCACCTTTTTTCAAAATTTTCAGACCTCAAGCAGACTAAAGCCAAATTCTACAATCCCTTTGATTGAAGAGAGTCGCCCTAAGTTTTATTGTAGGACAAGGCCCGCCAGGTCAAAGTTATCTATTAATGTCTCCATATTTAGAGAACTTAACCTAAAAGTTTAACCTGCGAATTTTTCAGCATGGGTTTTGGCAAAGTTAATCAGTAAACAGAAAATATGTAACTTACTACGTGTTACTAAATGATGAAAAGATTTCATAGACGACTTGGAAAAAAGTCAAGGAGAAGGGCTTGTGGAGACAGAGGTATGAAAAAATGGCTTTTTTTCTATAACCCCTCTCCAATCTCGAGCTTCTCTCAAGTTGTCCACTTAAAATATTCATGAAATTTTATCTGTCTTAAACAAAGTGACTTTATGTAAACATAACTCGCCGAATGTTTTGTCAGACTTTTTAATCTCCATTCTGTTCAACTCTTCAAAATTCAGTTTGTGTAAAAAATCAACGATTACTCCTGCCGATCATTTTAAGTTTTCTGATAACGTTTTGCTTGGGACTGGCGGCATTGTTGTTACATATCGGGATGAACATGTCCGGCCAGCCAGATGCCGGCTGAAGACCTGTCAACCTCCGAAATGCTATATTCTCTAAATCAAATTCTTCGTCGGAAATGCATTGAAGCCGTTATTTTACAAAATCAGGGAGAGCGGTGTTTTGTATTAAAGCAAATATTGAGATCTTCTTGCACGAAAGTCTTTCGGTGTCATCGTTTTTTTATTATACAAAAAACCGCACCATCTTTTCAGAAGAGCAATGTTGAAAGACACGAAAGTGCAATGAATTTCTGTTTTCATTCCTTGTTTAACCAACTTCAGAAAAATTGTTTCAGCTCTAATGAAGAGCAGTTTGATGGTTTGCTGTTAGATTGATATGGAAATCATGGAATAATTGAAAAAATTGATCGAAAGTTAACCGCAATCAACAACTAATTTATCGTATGGTTTAGAGGGGAAATATATCGTTTATCAGACTCATTTTTCTCGTCTTTATTGCTGTAACGTTGAGGAAACAGAAGATACTGATATACAATCCACCGTAAGTGCAAGCGAAGGTTCACTTCTACAAAATTAGTACTCTACTCTAATTGGCTACTTTTAGTGCCAGCCAATAAAATCGCAGCTTTTTCTCATTAAGCTTTGATTAGAACAATCGAATCAATTTCTGTCAGTCGCACAAAGCAGTAAGCCGACTTCTCTCTGTACTTCAAACGGAGCGAGGTAACTGGGCCATTCCGCCAGACTTTTGCGTCCAAGTTTTCCCGCATCATTCTTTACTTACAATTGTGGCCTATGTAGTAGAAATGAGCTGAAAGCATTCTTGATATGGGAAAGAAGTACAGCAAACAAGGTAAGGTTCTGTGTGACGAAGGTCGCCGAGCACGTTCGCTCGATGGCTTAACTCTTCAAGACAAGATGCCATAATTACATGTTTAATATACCACCGTGCGTATTCTCGGCGTGAGGCTTAACTTTGTACTCTTCCTCATCAAGATTCTTTTCCTTTCTAGCGTGGATATCAAGAGAGGGACCCGAAGGTATCATAGTCGAAGAACGAGCCAAGAGCTGTGAAATTTGCCTTGTTTATTTTTCGCTGCCTTTGTGCAGTGTTCACGCCGATCTAATGATTTCTTTTCGTTTTCTCCTTCTGCTCTTGAAAACAGGGTACTGCGTGGCGGAAAATGACGCTACAAATCTGACTTTGGATTTCACTGAAGAACCGAAAGAAAAGGCTACATGTACGGCCGACTTCACATACAAGGGCTACCCTGTCAATGTAGTGAGTATAATATAATTGATTTGCCGTTTATAGGGAATGATTGATTCTTCAGCCGAGACCCATATATACCATCTACCCTAATATCAACATGTGAGGTGATTAAAACTTTTTTTTAACATGCCATTCGCAATAGCAACTTTCTTGTGTGAAAAGGAAGTGTTTTCCTGTGGTTGTTGGTAGCTAGCGAGTGACGGCTTTGATAGCTGTCGGTTTCGACTGAAGTGATAAAACAACAGAGCCACTCGCAAAGGTCAACACCACACCATCGTATGGTTCGACTTGCGCTCGTGATTTGTCATTATAGCAAATTGCTTTGCGTTCCTAAATGAACTCAGCTCGCTACTCCAAATAACATCAGTCTCATTTCTGCTGACTTGTGGTCACATTTTGAGACGCGAATTGAGATATGTATGACGACGTTTTAAAACTCTCTGGGTAGACTAAATAAATCGGTATCTTTTTCTGAGATATTTAATTTTTGGCAGATTGATCGAAATATGCGTGTGGTAGTTAAACGTGGAAATGGTGAAGGAGTCAAAATTCCAAAATGCGTAATCGATTGTTACTTCTCTTTGCTTTAAGCCAGAAATACCTTCAAAGAGAGCGATTTCCGTCTATTCCTCGGCATTCGTGATCATGACACTGGTTTATTGAGCGGGCCTCCTTGAATAACCGTAAATAACTTTGAGCCTGTCAACAGAGGAGCGGCAGGCTGAAAGATTTCTGATGATGTTTCCTGAAATACAAGGGGACATGTTTCCTGCACGCCTCACTTTCTCACACGCTCTCTCTCTCACATTCAATCTGATATAGAGTATTTGAATGTGAAAGAAAATAAATACATTTGTGTGTGTATAACATGCTTAAGTAAGTGTGTACTGCCTTCATAAACATGTTATGTTTATTTTAGAATGTCACCTCTCGTTTTTCGAAGTCCATGTGTAGCGAAAGAAATGTTCAAGAGATGAACTACGTTTCTCTCCATTGAAGATTTCTCCTGATTTGTTCTGAAGTGTTGGAAAAACAAATTTTTAGAGAGGTTTCTAGCATGTAGTTTCGTCGTGACGTATTGGGTAATACCAAGAAAGCTTTCCGTTTTATGTTTTATCTGAACCTTGAATTAGTTTTCCCTGCTGTTAGCGAAATCAAACCCCTATATTTGCAGAAACATACAGCCTACTTTATTTTTGTGGCTAAACTTTGATTACGAACCGAAAGAAAACATTTTAATATATATTTATAATGCCCTTTTTGTAGAAAACTTAAACGCAGTTTTCAGCCTTTTTTTTCAGATTTTCTGTCACAAGTGATTTGAAAAAGAGAACACAATGCCGCTCAATTACGCAAACTAATATAACTTTTAAGAAATATTATGGTAATTTTACAACAATATTAATTATGCAGTTCTAAAACTAAATCAATGTTAACTCATTGTAGTGGATGACAGCTAAGATTTTGTTCTTTTGTCTTGTGGTTAGAATGATTTAATTGTTTTTGAAGCGTAGGAATTTAAATTGAGCCGCTGAAGTCAAGTATCAGAGATCACGTTTCGTTCTTGGTAGAAAGCTCCTTAAAAGCATTTTTCCCTTTGCTGATGTCATTCCTTCACATTCTTCATCTAGAAAACATTGCTGCAGAGCTATGTCCTCAAATGTATGTAATGTAAGATAAGTTCCTCCATAAAGAAGCTTATTCAGCCACAAGCATCATGTGCCGCAAAGTTCAGCAAGATTCATGTTGCAGTCCTTAGCACAATTATTGTGGCTCTTCCCTTGCTAATCTGTTGCACAATTCTGCTTCAATGTCTTTCAGCCCCCTTTGCTTGGGAACAATATTTGAATTATTTTATTTTGTTTGTCTTTCTCAAAGCTGCAAGATGGACACTGTGGATCAGAAAAAGAGTTCTGTAAAAAGTATTCTTACTATGACTATCCCATTGAAGGTGTGTTGTGATATTCTTTTGCCAGAACTCTTGGTAATTGTTTTGACTCTAATTTAACTTAGAAATATGGACTAGTTCATCTGGATTATATTTAATTAGATTTAATAATTAAATAATGTCTAATGAATATGAGTGGTATTTTTTAAACTCTTTGTAAGCTTTTTAAACACACTTTAGAGCCTCTTTATCAGTCAGTTCAAACATTCTTAAGGCAATTTTCATAAACTAATTATTCCTAATCCACCCTCAGAAAGAGAATTTTTGTTTAATGAGGAAATCTTTTGGAAAGTGCAAGATCTCTAACTGACAGGAACTATATTTGTTTTTCACATGATTGCCATCAAGCAGTGTTACTTTACACACAAATACTTTCACTGAAAAAAAGTCCTTTGGATAAATTGACTATAGCTCTTATACAGAAAAATTTTCCCATACCTTGGGGGCGACATTCGTGTTACTTATCACATATGGTTCAGTAACAAGATAATTGCGGTCAACATTCTCTGTTGTGGTATAGTGTCAAAGTAGGTCACAGTCTAAATGATTGGATTGATTTTAATACAGCTCCATCCCTATCTCTAAATCCTGGGTGGAATAAAGAAAAGCATTAAACTTCTTTGCCCCCTCAAAACAATATGGAAAGGAAGTGCATGGCTGAAACGATTGAAGGAGTGGTTCATCTTGTTACGATGACCACTTTTTACTTGGGCCTAGAAGGATCTTGCTCATATGCAGCATTGTTCTTGTCTACACATGTAGATTAGGAAATTAAGAAAATCTGCAATGGGGTGTTCTGAAATGATTAAACAAAACCTGAGTTATTGAAATCTATCAAATGCATTTTGAAGCTTTTCCAGAAAGTGATGTTATTGCTATTTTATATCTTTAGATTTTGCTTTCTTACATAATGTCAACCCTAAATAGCGGTAGATATATGTTTTCATGAACATGTTAAGAATTCAAACCAAGCTTGTCTTTGTCCTTGATTATAAAAAAACTGCCTTTCAAAAGACCCTCTCTATGAAGACAAGGGAAGGAATTAAGCTGCTCTGAAAAATATTAAATGTGTGATGCTTTTTTTTTTTTTTCCTCTTGGTAGTTGTTGAATTACCTGATGAACCAGATGGTAAAAGATTTGAGCTGTTTTTTGAGCGTGAAGGACAGGTTGAAGCTTCTACCCAAACCACGAGGCCAATCACGGTAAACGTTAAACCTCTCCTAAAAGAACATCTTTTAGATTTGTTTAAAAAAAATACCTATCACAAAACTGTATGTAGAACATGTGCAGAGAGTTTTTCTTTTTTGTTTTAGCGCGTGAAACAGGGGATTAACTCTTGATCTCCTTCATGTGATTTTCATTTTACCAACTCTTTTTTTTTTTGATATAGCCAAAATTACAGTAATTGAATAAAGAGGATAAGTGTCAAACTGTGGTGCTGCATCTGTGGGGGCTATTTAAGGGTAATTTGGTTATATCAAAGCTGATGTTTAAAGTGCAATCCCTTCATTAGAGAGAAGAGAGATATTGCGGTTTGCGTGTTGTTTATATACAGAAACAGAGCATCTGCTATTGATGGGAAACATGGTAACTGTGGAAATTGAGAATAAATTGGTTGAATGAAAAGCATTTGTAAAATTACATAACTGGCCTTTCAGAAATAAATACTATTATAGTTTGAGTCAGTAAAATGACAAGGACTGTCTTAAGAATTTTCATGCTCTACATGAAACTTTGTTGTCTTGCTCTAATAGAACCATTGGCTTCACTCTAATTATACTGCAATGTTTTACTGTACAGTACAGTAATGACTGCAAATTATTTTTTTGTACTTTTCTTATTTTATTGTAACAGTGCTCTAAAAGTGAACTATTTTACACAACAATATGTGACTTTCCCTCTACTTTGATTGGTTTATATTTTTACAGGCGGTAAGTGAATGTGGTCAGTCAATTAAATCAACAGGATCAGACCGGCAGGAATGGTCATACACCCTTTATGACTTTGAAGGCCAAGGCCAAGTCACTCGAGATGTAAGTTTTCTTTGTCCATAACAGGATTGATGTTACATTGGAATGTCGAAGCCATGGCTTAATATAAGTTGTCTAAGAGAAAATTATTGTGATAGAGTAGTAACACAAGTCCATGCAAATGGTTTCATGATATTCAGAGCTGGGAATATTGAGGGTCTACTATCTGCTTAAATTAGTTTCCTTCTCTATATGGTGTACCGTGAACAGAGTGTACTGTACATTAGGTAGAGGTAGAATTTTCTGGTAACTTGCAGAATTCTTGGAAATCAATTGAATTCTCGATATAAAATATGAGATATTACATTGGAATGTCAGAGTCATAGCTTGATACAAGTTGTGGAGGAGAAAATTATGGTGTCAGAGTAGTAAAGCAGGCCATGCATATTCAGGGCTTGGGATATTAATTTAGTTTCCTTCAACAGATAGAAAACAGTGAGCAGAGTGTGCTTTATATTAGGTGGATTAAAGGAGCAGGAGCATTAAAATATTCTATTGCTGTTTCATTCTCTGTTGAAAAGCCTGGGTAGCAAAAAGGTTTTGTTTGACTCAGAGTATTCTTCATTTAAAAAAAACTATTTTAAGGAAATCTTTTGAAAATTACTGATCTAGTGAGCTTTTGATAAGCAAGAAGTACATGTATGTGAGAGATTTTCATTTAAAGGATAGGATCTTAAACTTTTTTCAGCCATTGCAAATCCTGAAATTAGTTCTCCCTCCAAGGAACAAGGATTATTTTGTTTATCTCCTCAAGCTGATGATAATTTGTTGTTGTAGGACGTGAAGAACCTTGTGAAGTCAATCTATGATGTCCTTGGCAAAAGCATTTCTCATCCCAAAGGAACACAAAAAGATCCTGTTAAAAAACTCTGTGTGAAATTGTCACTCTCAAAGGAAAGAGGCAGAGATCTTAATAGTAGGACAAGGCATGAATGTGTCCTGACTGGTAGTGGCTTTGAGGAACATCCCAGAAGGAGTAAAGGGAGAAAGTACCTTTCAATACAAAGAGAGGGGTCTTTGACTGTGAACCCTCCATCTACAGACTGCCTTGGTCAATTCAGACCTAAGAGCAGCCTGTGTGAGCCAATACAGTCAGAGCAACATGCCAGCAGCAGTGGGCATCCTCGCAGATCATCATCATGCAGGAGGTGTGAGCACAGGCAACCTGTTGACAAGGATTGTGTGAGAAATGACCCCCGAAGGAGTGCCAACCCTGTTGACTCAAAGGGAATGTATCATTTCCCCAAGAGAATGCAAACTGGGCCTGGAGAATGTAACCCACCAGTATCCAATAGCGAGGAAATGACCAGAGTTAAGGATTGGATCAATCAGTGGTGTCACATGTATGACAAGGGGGAGGAAGAACCCCGTGAAGAACACCACCGGCACAAACATAAGCTGCACCATCGACATCGTGTCTGCCAAACCAACAGCTGTGATATGGGCTGTGGCCTTCGTCGCTGCCCTCAGTACCTTGATCTTGCAACAGATCACCTAACCTACCCTTACCACACAGAAAGTCAGTCATTCCCTTTTGCAAATGGATCTCCCTCACCACAGCACAGTCACAGACACAGTGAATATCATCACTGTAAGCGCAACTTAACTAGAGACAGTGACTTATGTCATCAGGATGGACAACCAGTCATGCATCGCCATGAGCACCACCACCATCACAGTCACCATCATTATCATCACTATGTCAGCTAAATAACTTTGTTATTTAAATTCTACCTTTGACTAAAATCATTTTCACACAATTTATGGTTTTTAGGTAAGATTAAATGTGGTGAAAAGTTATAACATTTATAGGGAACAAGCCTTGCTTGATGAATAGGACCTTGTAAAGAGGCACACTTTGTGATGAACAATAAGAACTCAAGCAAGGGGTTACTCTCAATTACTGGAAAATATTACTTTATGCAAAGAAGCAAGAATCTTTATGTTTTAAGACTTTTTTGTATAGCCTGTTAAATCAAGTAGAATTATGTATTTTCTACCTGTCTTGAAACTGCATGCATGAAGGGCAAACAGTATTGCAACTTGTCTTTGCTAGAATGGGATTGTTATATATTTCACTTTTATAATATCATACAATTTAATGTACATGATATTTGTAAGAATCATCAGATTATCCCAGACTGAAAGCAATATTTAACCATTGTTGTACTCCATTTAAAAACACCATGCGTAGGTAAGGAATTTGACTGCCATGAAATGTGATTAAAGATAAGTAAAAAAATTTATTCATTCATGAAAAGTACTTTTGTAATTCTTTTACATGTAAAACAAAACAAAATGAACATTGTGATTTTAAATGCTTTTTTGATCAACAAAACAAATGAGCTCTTTATTTTTTATTAGGATTATTCACAGGTTGTAGGAACAATTGGCAGTGTAAACAGGAATTTGTCTTTTTTTTCAACTTTATTATTGACTTTTTCTAAGTCAGTTAGTTGTGAAGTATGAGTATATGCTTTATTGCTGTTTTATCCTCACTCTACATTTATTGCCCCTTTTTTAGAGTATAGTAGCCTTGGGAATCATATGACGTAGACAAAAACTAAAATAGAATTTAGCTCACGGATAAAATTAAGCCACAACAGGTATTCCAGGCAGTTGAGGAATGGTTCAGAAAAATTTTTTTAAAATCTAAAACCCTAGTTATTTGAATCAAAGGAAATTTAAAGTATATCTTATTCACATTGTATAAAATCATTTAAGAAGTATTTAACAATTCCAGTGTATATTCAACATTTACTGTAATAATAATATTATATATTTCACAATGCATCAGGCGAATCTGTCTGCTTTTATATTTGTATCTTGAATCTAGATATATGTACATTTTATTCTGAAACTGAAGGAGACAGTTTTTTGGTCTTGACGCAAACCTGTTGACACAAACGGGGACATTCAGTCTAGTTGATACAGACATAAAAGAATAATGTGATTTGAAA